CACTTTCCTTACCATTCTGCTTGTAATATTAAGAAAAGAACTGCCAACTAGTTTATAGTAACCAAAACTTAAATATAACTAGAAAAAAATATATATAACATTCCCAGTCTTTCTGCACAGGATAACATACCTGATGAATTTGCTCTAGGCCTGCTCCAAAATCCCGAATGAAAAGGAGGTAGATTTTCTGCACGAAGTCTGGTTTTAACTGCTTCATGTCTTGTACAGTGACTTTCATATCAAACACCGTACTGAATGTATTGATGAGCATCTCATCGTTGAAAATCTGGTCACACATTTTGGAAATTTCTGGAAAATCTGTGAAAATGAAAAAAAAATTAAATATCCTGCATTGTGATAGGAAACAGTGAACTTACATTATCCTTTTAAACATACCCCTAACAAAATATAAAGGACAGCACCTAGTTGCAAGACCTACAGGTACATATTGTTTTACAGTCAGCTAATGGAAAGGCTCTTTTCTGACATGCTTTTGTGGGTAGGCAAAGGATAACAGACCTCCACTACATTTAAAGCTGGGACTGGCATCTCAATTGATAATAAATCCACAGAAAAAAAAGACAATCTTTCAAAAATAATGTGGTGAGCTTTATATTTTTTTGCTGGGATTGCCAATGAGCACTATGTTACCTTAATCATAGCTAATATATATATATATATATATATATATATATATATATATATATATATATATATATATATATATATATATATATATATATATATATAATATATATCCAGTACATCTGGAGAGTACACATCACATGTAATCAATCACTTTAAAGATTAGTAGTATTGGCAGGGCAGACATATCCTAAATGACTAGAAATAAAATGACTTGTTAACATCTAGTAAATATGAAAATTACATAATTACACAAGTGAATTAGTTCTCAATAGCAAGGTCTGATGCACACCAAAGCATACGTAAGAGACAGCAACACATAAAAATACCTGCATGTAGAAAAATGAAACATTTGAAAAACAAATATGACATAATGGAAAGATGTTGAGTACATTTCCCCAGAGAGAGTGATTCAAAGAATAAGTTTATATCTATCAAATACTGCTGATTCCTCTAAGCCTTTACTACCCAATATTTAGTTTACTTAATTTACTTTACTACGCAACATTCCAGTCCCTGACAGCTGGGAGGGCATGAAAGGTAGCATGGAAATTGCAGTATAAAATATTAATACTATAAACAAAATACATCAGTATAATAATATACATGAAATAGATCACAATAATAATATACACAAAATATATCACCATAATAATACTATGCTCAAAATACATCACTATAATAATAATAATAATATATAGAGAATAAGTCAGTACATTATCTAATGCATGGGACTGTGACCCCTGCAACACTCCCGCCCTGGAAGATAAAAAAAAATCCTTCATATAGTCCTGGCAGTATAGAGTGTACGACCGACATGTGGAAGTACCCAATGCCAATTCCTATGTTCCATCCTGCTATACATACATGCCAGATTCCTATCGGCAAATAAACCGCATATAAATTCCACGCGTAAGTACACATTTATCTTGAAAAAAAATGTAAATCCTAAACACCACCTTCCCCTGTCTCCTTGGGGGGTTACTCTAATTGCCGCCGGGCCATGAGTTAATGATTCATTATAAGTTATTTTCATATTTTAAGGTGGAAATAAAGGTTTGGGCACTTCTGCCTAAATAAATAATATAATGGGGACATTATTATTATAGATTATGCCCAAGGGGCTGGGCTTGTAAGTTTCTGTATTTATATATTGTCACTAAAATAGTCCATGGCAATCTCAGCAGGGCGATCTCAGCATAGAGAGTCCGTGCTAGCCGCAGTTCCAGACCGTGGCTGTTAAGGACGCCGTCGTCATGCCAGGAGACTCCTCCAGGAATACAGAATGGTTCTCCAGTCCTCTGCTGTATTAACTATTCCCTAGAAACTAGTAGGCCTACCCCTACCAGATCTTTTTTTAAAAAAGCAAACCTAAAAAATGTGATTTTGAGTTCACAGGTTCTTATCTTTAAAAGCATCCATAATAGCAGTGAAATGAAACTTTGTATTGAGGGTGGAGAAGAGTTAACTCCAACAGAGTCGCAGTCAAAGAGGAGTAGTCTACCGGTACTCTAATCATGTAGAGAACCCTATGTACAGTTGACGCTACTAGGCTACAAATTAGCCCGTCGTTGCCCGTCGGTTCCCAGCGGCGCCCGTCGGCAATTAGAGATACCGCTCCTTGGGGGTAACGGTAGGGCTGCTGTGGAAATGGCTAATTTGGGGGGGAAATATCACCCGCGCATGGCATATGTGAGGCCATTTGAACAAAATCATGCATTACCTCAAACTACAAACGAAATTCGGAGAGAAAATCGACAAGAAAGACTAACTTGTGGCATTAAAAACAAAGGGAGGGGCGTCGGGCTCAGTCAAATCCAACGCCGTTTGTTTGTTTTGAATCAACATCGGGGTC